TGTGTGTGTGTGTGTGTGTGTGTGTGTGTGTGTGTGTGTGTGTGTGTGTGTGTGGTGTCACTTGAAGTTCCAGGCCAGCCAGGGATACAGAGTAGGGTCTTATTTCAAACAAAAACCTACTGGAAATGTCTTACTCACATATTTTTGTTTGTTTGGGTGGTATTTTTTGCTTTGTTTTTTGACAGAGGGTGTTATGTATCCAATGCCAATCACACTTAGTATGTAGCCCAAAGATGACTTTGAACTTCTGATCCTCCTGCCGCTACCTTCCAAGTGCTGCGATCACAGGGGTTTACCACCATGCCTTTTAGCAGCCTGACTTTTAACAGTCACTCCTGAGTTTTAAAATGGACAGAGAAGGAAACAGTTCATTACAGAATTGTGAGTGTCAATAAGAAGGAAGCAGTGTTGCCCTCCCTCGCTGTGACACCGGGGAAGAAGACAAGAAAAGGACAGCAAAGCAAACGAAAAACTCACAAAAATCTAACACAGGAGCAAGCCACCAAAATCAAAATACGAACCCTAAGTTTCAAAGGGACCAGGAATGGTGGCACACGATGCCTGCACTTGGTAAATTTAGTCAGCATCATTGGTCACTGGGGACATACAGACACAAACCACTTCCTACCCACAAACAAAAAGACAGTAGGTAGTGCTGTCACGGTCTGGAGAATCGGGAGCATTCCTGTACTCTTCACGATAATGTAAAATGGTACAATCTCTCAAAGTGTGGCAGTTCTTCAAAACATTAGTTACCACATAACCCGGAGATTCCACTGGTGAGAATAGACTCACGATAACTGACACTTTGTCTACACCAACGCTTGCACACAAAATGTTCCTGAAAGTATGACCTGTTATAGGCCAAAGTGAAAAATCAAACGTTCACCCGTTGACAAATGAGTATCACGTACACACAACTGAGTATTGCTTCAGCCCTCAAAGAGAACGTCGTTCTGATACATGCTGCAACATGGGTTAACCTTGAAAACACTAAGTGTATGTCCACTTACATCCAACTATCCAGAAAAGGCAAATCTACAGACAGAAAATTGGAGAGTCGCTGTCTAGGGCTGTGAGGATGAGGAGACATGGAGTAACTTATGAGTTCCAAGATTTGTTTGTTTTGTTAGAGTAAGGGTAATGTACTAAAACTTTTTGTGGTGACTGTATAGCTCTGCGGATGTACTAAAAACTCACTGGACCGCATGCTTTAAGTGGGAGGATTTGTAACTATGTCAACAGTTATCTTAAGCTGCCTTAGGGCCGGGCGTAGTGGTGCACGCCTTGAATCCCAGCACTCAGGAGGAAGAGGCAGGCGGATCTATGAGTTCTGGTCCAACCTGGTCTACTATGCGATACTACAAGACCCTAATGCCTCCCATAGTGCTCATAAATCCTGGGCAGTTGCCAAGCGCCGGATTGACTTAGAAGGGTCACCCACTTTTCCCATGGTACTGAAGCATCGTGCTCATTGCCGCGAGCCCGAGGGCTCCGCGGGGAGGGTAGCGAGCGTCCCGACTCCCACTGGAGCACCGTGCCTCGGCGGCCCGGTGCCTCGGCAGCCCGGCTCCCCGCCACGGTCGAGATGCACCTACCCAAGGCACAAGCCATGGCAGCGCCCACCAGGCCTCCTCCTGACACTACCACGTCGTACACGGTGTCTGCCGAGGAGCCGGCCCATCGCCGACACGCAGCCAGAGGGCCTAGTCCCGCGGTTCCCCACCAGCGGGCGCACGGCAAGCGGGTCATCGCGCCAACGCGGGCCGCCATAGTGACTCGCGCCTGCGCCTGAAGCCCGGACTCCCCCACGGACCTAACCCGGATAGTGCTTCCGGGGCAGTCTCCTACCCTGTGCGGCTCAACCCTGTCTTCAGAACCGGAAATAAAATGCGCGAGGAGAATAAGCCAATCAGAAAGCGCCTCCCGACTCCTTGGGCGGAACAGACTGGCCAATCCCAGGCTAACGCTCTACGGGGGCGTGGCTTGCCGTGCCCGGCCGCCCGCGCCGCTGTCCCCGCGCTGCTGTCCCCGCGCGCTCTTCTGCCTCTGGTTAGGAAGATGACTGTGGGGAGGTCCGCCGGAGCCCCCGAGTGCGCGGAGTGCAGCCGTGAGGTGAGCAGGGAAAGGAGGAAGCAGGATGCCTCGGAAAGGAGTCCCCAAGAGAGGAAGCTGTTTAGCGTTGCCGTGGAGACAGAGTCAGGGGCGTGCCGCCGAAGGGCGTGGAATTAAAATTGCAAGTGCGTTTAGGCATCGAGAGAATCTGTCTTGGGGACTTGGTCCACTTGCATCTTGTACCAGGCTCTGACATCGGGGAGCGTAGCAATAGCAAACTACGAATTAACTTTGAAAATATTAAAGTGATCTCCATCTTCCTATAATTATCCAGAAAAGGCAAATCCAAGGGGCAAATCGTTGCGTGCGACTCAGGAGGTGGGGGAGAAACCGAGAGGCTTGTAAAGGCTTCCAAGGTTTTTGTTGTTATTTTAGAGTAAGGAAAATTAACCAAAATGTACTGTAGTGATGAATGCGCAGCTTTGCGAATATACTAAAATTCATTAAACTGTGTGCGTGTGTCCTCTCAACCTCATTTTTCCAGAAAAGAAAACAGACAGATCAAACAATTTGCCCCCCAAATCTACAAAGATAGAAGGTAGAGTGGCGGTCGCCTAGGGCTGACAGAGGGAAAGACGATATGGGAGGGTTAAGGGAAATAAAAAAATGCCTATTAAAGGCTATAGTGTTTCTTGAGGGCAATGGTTCTCAACCCGTGAGTCCTGACCCTTTTGGAGGTAGAATGACCCTTTCATAGGGGTGGCATATCAGATATTTACATTATGATTCCTAACAGTAACAAAAGTACATTTATGAAGTAGCAACAAAAATAACTTTATGGTTGGGAGTCACCACAGCATGAGGAACTGTGTTAAGGAGTCGCAGCATTAGGAAGGGTGAGAACCACTGCTTTAGGTGAATGATGAAAAATGTTCTGAATTTGTACTGTGAGTTAGACAACTCTGACTATATTAGAAACCGGTGGGTTATACACTTTAAACAGTTGAGTTGTATACTGTGGACAGTGTGTTTCAATAACGTTGTTTGCGCCAGCATTATAGCTCAGACCTATAATCCCAACAACTCAAGAAACTAAAGCAGAAGGATCAAGAGTTCAAAGTCACCTTCGACCCTGTCACCACATAGAGAGGGAGAGAAGAAAAGGGAGGGGGGAAGAGAATTGTGCCCTAGATCACATGCTCTTCAGCAACAGAGCTATGACCACAGCACATACATACCTTTAACTCAGATGCACTGCTCCAACTGCAGCTAAACATCTATAGTCCCCTCCTGGTCTGGTACCTGCCAATCTAAGGACATCTCAGGCCACTGTCCTCCAGCCACCCCAGCCTTCTTTTTATCACTACCAGATTCATTTGAGAAAGTAAAAATCAGCCTAAAACTGAAAATCAGACACTCCTGACTTCAGTGGTTCAGTTTACCTTTCAACTTTATAATGGTGGAAAAGCAACATGCATTCAATAGAAACGATACTTTAAACTTTTGTTTTCTATTTCTTGTGGTACTGGGGACTGAGCTTAGGACCCTGTGCATGATAGGCAAGTGTTCTACTATGGAGCTAAATCCCCCGCCCCAGATTTCAGTCTTTCTCTAAATAGCAGTAGGACACTCTATGTTGGGCAGTGACAGTGACTTGCAGCTTCTAGTGAGTCACACAATCAGGAGAGTGGACAGTGGCTATTTTATAAGTGTCCTGTGTTGGTATGCTAGGTGCTCATTAGGTTAATGCATTAGTGCACTTTTATTTAAAATACTTTAAATTAGTGCACTTTTATTTAAAATACTTTAACTTAGAATGGGTTTGTCTGGACATAACCCATTGTAAGGGAAAGAGCATCTCTGTCACCCAGACTAACAGATACAGCCAAGGCCAAAAGCAGGATTACCAACAAAACAGTGTTTCTGGGGGTTCTGTAACATAGTTGCAAAATTGCTACTTTCTTCTAAGTGATTGTGCTTACTTATCAATTGTTTCCCTTTGCCTTGCTTTGTTCTCACTTTTTCAATGAAAAAAAAAATGCACAAGTATCCACCTTACTAGACTGTTCTCTTCATCATAGCACCTGTCCAGAGTTGGCTCCTCTTCCCCTAACCCTCCTCTCAAAACTGTCAGAATACGCTGATCCTAGAAACCTATCCCCACTCATTTGCTATAGTTTTCCACAATGTTGAGCAACAAATTGATGAATTTAATCCTGATTATTGGTGCGTTCCTGGTGACCTCTGACATCTATCGGCAGAAAAGCTTTCCTGGGACACATTCATGTTATCCTGTTTTCCACCTGCTCTCACTAGGATACATGCTTCATGACCTACTAGGAGTTCCGCCCATATTGTCTTATATACCAATGGATGAACGTAGTTTCGATGCTGGTGCTTTACAGTGCTGCGCCTCAGGGCCAGCCCTTGAGCCTGCTAGGCGAGGGCTCCACCACCGGGCTTCACTCCTAGCCCTGGGAGGCTTTCAAAGCTGGCTGGGAGTTCCGCTCTCCATGTGGCTCTTCCACCTAGACACGTCACCCCTCCTGTTAATCATCCATTCCTGGTAACGGTGTGGAAATTGGTTAGGATATAAGGAAAGTAAGAGGGTCGATGGGGAAATCAGAAAAGGAAGACGGGTAACAATTACATAAATCCCAAGTAAACCTGGGAACAGAGTGTAGCCAAGGTCATGGGCAGGACTCCTGGAGCACTGAGAACAGAATGTGCGGGTCCAGTTAGGTACTCAGAGTGCTTTCTGTGCTGAACGGGCGTTAGTTCTCCGGCAACCTTTCCTGCCCACAGTCAGGCATCTAATACCTCGTGTTGTGAAATGTCTTTTGAGTGAAGAACACAGCTTACTTTTCTTTGCCCCTTCTTAGTCCCCAATATACTGAGGCTTATTCAAAGTAAAGTTAAAGTCATTTTTAAGTAACTTTGAAATCAGGGTTTAACTCATTATTGATTTCTATTTTGTTTTAGATATTTCCCCCCAGATCCTCCTCAGACAGTGAGCCAGAAGATGAGCTGTCTGGAGAAGGGCTGCTTTTGCCCAGAGCTGGTAAACTCCATGAGTTCCTCAGCCCAGAGGAGGAGACAGACTCTTCTGACTACACTGGGAGCTTTTACAGGACCTTACAGGTTCGAAAGCAGAACGGCAGGTGGAGTCTCGTGGGGTCTCCCTTTCCATCTGACCCAGACAGTGGTGAGAATAGCTCTGAAGATGAGGAAGACTTGGAGAGTTTCTTCCAAGACAGGAGCAGGGGGAAACCACAGGTCCAGGACCCTTCATCTCTCAGGTAAGACACTGAATGCACTTGGTGACTGCCACACTCTGGCACTCCAGGCTAGTCACGCCATGTCTCAGGGCCTTGCCTTCCCCTCTGTAAGACCACCTCGGCAAGTTGTCCCTTACCTAAGACCCAGCCCAGAATTAGCTCTTGGATCCGATCACATGTTGTGATTCTTCTATTTTTATTTATTTGTTTGTTTTGTTTTTCAAGACAGGGTTTCTCTGTGTTGCTTTGGTACCTGTCCTGAATCTCACTTTGTAGACCAGGCTGGCCTCGAACTCACAGAGATCCTCCTGGCTCTGCCTCCTGAGTGCTGGGATTAAAGATGTGTGCCAACACTGCCTGGCTATTTATTTATTTTTTAATGGGGCGGGGGGTTTCTGTATGCTTTGGAGCCTGTCCAGAACTCACTCTGTAGACCAGGCTGGCCTCGAACTCAAAGATCTGTCTACCTCTGCCTGCCACCGCCTGGCCTGTGATTCTTTAAAATGTTTAAAATCTTTCAAAATGTTGTTTTATGTCTGTGGGTGTTTTGCCTGCATGTATGTGTACCATGTACATGCCTAGTGACCACGGAGAACAGAAGAACATGGGGTCCCCTGGAACTGAAGGAACAGACAGCTCTGAGCTGCCACATACGTTCTGGGAATCGAACCCAGGTCCTCTGGAAGAGCAGCCAGTGCTCTTAACTGCTGAACCACTCTCCAGCCCACGTGTTTTGAGTCTTACCCAGCGATCCTCAATAACTCTGGGCAGCAGTTACTCAGTGGAAGCACTGGAGCTGACCAAGGGATGCCTTTCCCCCCAGAATGACAGGTCATTGTCTGGGGCCCAGTCTGCCAGTGCACATATATATGCTTTGTCTTTTGTTTTGTTTTTTCCCTTCTTTTTGAGACAGAGTCTCATGTAATCCAGGCTGGCCTGAAACCCCTGAACTTCCCAGTTACACCTCTCAGGAGCTTGGATTACAGGCATGTGCCACCACACTGGCCTGTACCTCATTTGATATGTACTCTCTTCCCAGTAACCTTATAAGTGGATATTATGTTTGCCACTCTACATGGGAAATCCAAAACCCTCAAGGTGTGAATTGGATCCCCTGACTCTGCGGCCCTGCGCTACTCCACTACAACTGTTTATCTTATGCAGTTATCAGACTGCAAAGGGGCAATTCCTGCAGGAATTCCTAGGAGATAGTTCCTGTTGGGCTGCTGGCAAGAAGGGAAACCTAGCTGGTAAGGTTAAGAACTTAGAGGCCTTTCGGGCTTTGGGGTCAAGGCTGAGAAGCCTCCTGGTTATGATCTGCTGGCAGGGAGGCTGGAGGGGGGCTCTCTGAGGAGCCAGGCCTCCTGACTGCTGGGTCCCCCCACAGCACTGCTTTCTCCTCCAGATGTGGCTCCATGAGGCGCTGCAGCTCCATGACCAGCCTCCCCTCTGACCTCCCCAAGGCTCCGATCCCGCCAGCCTCAGACTCGGGGCCTCCCTCCCAGCACAGAAGCGTTTCCTCCTGGGCATCCTCCATCACTGTCCCTCAACCCTTCCGCATGACTCTGCGTGAGGCCCGGAAGAAGGCCCAGTGGCTGGCCTCGCCTGCCTCCTTTGAGCAGGAGAGGCTGCAGGCCCAGAAACAGGGCCAGGAGGAGGCAGAGTGCTACCGGCAGTTCCGGGCCCAGCCTGTGCCCGCGCACGTCTACCTGCCGCTCTACCAGGAGATCGTGGAGCGCAGCGAGGCACGGAGGCGTGCAGGGATCCAGAAGAGGAAGGAGCTGCTTCTCTCCTCCTTGAAGCCTTTCAGCTTCCTTGAAAAGAAAGAGCAGCCAAAGGAAGCCGCTCCACAGAGAGACTCGGCTGCAGTGGCTCCGGCCAAGGTCCCCCTAAAGAAGGCCACTAGAAGGATTCCCAAGGCCGTTCTGGAACCAGCCCTTGGGGACAAACTCCAGGGTAAGGATACTCTTGGCACCCCCGGCTACCTCTGGCCTGGGGTCCCCAGAGGCACTGCAGGGATTTAGGATGAAGACTCAGGGACTACACTGGTGTGGAGATTGCCCATGCTCCGTGTAGGCCAGCAGAGAGAGTTGGGTCTGTCCGAGGTGGTTCTCAAACTTCCTCATGCTGGGACCCTTTAATACAGTGTTGTGGTGAGTCCCCCACCCCCGCAGACCATAAAACGATTTCGTTGCTACTTCATAACTGTAATTTTGCTACTGTCATGAATGGTAATGTAAATATCTGACTTTTTGAGACAGAGAATTGTCTCAAAACTCTACCTGGTGGGGTCTGAGGCCCACAGGCTGAGAACCACTGATGTATAGGGAGGTCCTACAGCAGCAGCTCCCCCACCTCTTGCCCCGCCCCCCCAGGCTCAGCCTGGTGACCTGGTGTAAGCACATGTGAAAGCCTCTGGCCTGGCCTAGGTATGGAAGCAAAGATCATGACATGAAGGCCCTCCCTCCACCAGCCAGTGCTTTTTTTCTAGCCTGCTGCCTCTGGGAAGGCCAGCTCTCCCTCCCTCACCCTGCAGAGGGGCCAATCACTTGGGGGCTGGTGGTTAACTTGTTTCCCGTTATTTACCACTGGCTTTAGCACGCTGCTGCTCTTAGTGTTTAAATGAGGGTAAGTTTGGGCCTGTGGTTGCCTGAGCCTGTAATCGCACCTACTCAGGAAGTCAAGGCAGGAGGTTGGAGGAGTTGGAGTCCAGTCTGGGCTACATAGGGAGTTCTCCAGACCTGCCGCCTCCCCTCTTCCTTCACTGCCCTCTTCACAGAAGCGGAGCTCCTCAGGAAAATTCGAATCCAGATGCGAGCCATAGACACGCTCCAGAAGGCTTCGTCCCCCATCAGCACCTCCAGTAGCCGGGCTCCCCGCACCGCTGCCCGCACCCAGGAGGAAAAGCTGAGCTTTCTACAGACCGAGTTCGGATTCCAGCCGCGGGTGAACTCTGTGGTCCCTGACTACGAGGGTCTTTACAAGGCTTTCCAGAGAAGAGCGGCCAAGAGAAGAGAGACCCGGGAGACAACTCGAAACAAGCCCTTCCTGCTCCGGACTGCCAACCTGTGCCACACTCCGCGGTCCTGTGAGGCCACTGCTGCTGGAGGAGGGAGGATGGGGACCCAGGCAGGTAGCAGGGAGGACCCATGTCTCAGAGGAAGGCATTGTCTTGACACTTTTCTGTCTTGAGCTTTATTGTTTGAACACCTGCTCAGTTGCACGCAGAAACACGTTCTGTAAACTGAAAACAAGAACACGCCCTTTCACACCTCCCTAGAGGCATTTCTGCAAACGGAAGTCCCGGCCAGTCTGAGAGGCCGGTCTGTCCTAACTGTTTCCGCTGCTGTGATAGAATGCCCTGACCAAAGCATCTAGAGGGGAAGAGGGCTTATTCTAGTCATAGTCTGTGACAGCTGGGGGTCAGAGGGGCGGGTGCCAGAGACAGCTGACGCATTTATAGTCAAGGGCAAAGAGTGAGTGAGTGCACACCTGTGCACACTCTGTCCACTCTGTCCACTCTTCTGTGAGTGAGTGCACACCTATGCACACTCTGTCCACTCTGTCCACTCCTCTGTGAGTGAGTGCACACCTGTGCTCACATTGTCCACTCTTCCACAGTTGGCAGGTCTGTCCACCTTAATTAAAACAATCAAGGTAATCCCCCGTGGACACACCCCAGGCCTGCCCGATCTAGACAGTTCCACAGTGAGATTCTCTTCCCAGGTAATTCTAGAGTGTGTTAGGTTGACGAAGCCAATCACACAGCTCCAGAACTCTTCTCACTTGACTGGAAACGTTAGGATTGGTATGCAGGTGTGGGCCTTGTCACTCAACAAGATCTTGTTCTCCTTCTCCCCGGGGTGGGGGAATAAAGATTCTCCTGTCTCATCCTTCACCGAAACGGAATCCTAGTTAGGACAGACACTAACCCCATGTCGTCACCAATGCCAGCCCTCCTCTCTTGCAGAAGTCGCCTCGGCCAGCAGCTACACCCCTGCCAAGGAGTCGTTCTCTGAGTGGCCTTGCCTCCTTCTCTGCCAACACTCTCCCTGTGCACATCCCAGATGCCACCAGGAAGAGGGAGTCTGCAGTCCGGTGAGTAAGGAGGCCACCGCAGACTCTGACAGGCTTGGGTCCCAAATGCTGTTCCTGCTGCTCCTGCTGCCCGGCCTCTGCCGTTATCAGAAACACCTCGCGACTGAAGGAATCCTCTGATTCCACGGGGCAGGAATACGTGCTCTCATCCCGCAAATCCTTTTGGGGTCTTAGTCTGTGTCCACACCTTTAATCCCAGCACTCAGGAGGCAGAGGCAGGCGGATCTCTGTGAGTTCGAGGCCAGCCTGGTCTACAGAGCAAGTTCTAGGACAGCCAGAGCTACACAGAGAAACGCTGTCTGGAAAAAACAAACAAGCGAACAAAACAACAACAAAAAGGAGAACGAAGAGGAACAAGTCAGACAAAGGCTAGAGAGAGAAGTTTCCAGAACAAGGGAGTGTGTAAACCCTGCCCATGAGACAGTTAGGAGCAGTGTTTGTGATGTCCAGCCTGCTGTCCCTTGCAATGTGCTCAATGACCTTTTCTTTCTAAAACCGGAGCCAAAGCCTGTGTGTAAGAGGGAAAGGTAGCCACAGGGAATACAGATCAGACTCAGGCATGGCAGCGGGGAGCGGAGCCCACCACGGCCAAGACGTGACAGCCATGTGCAGGTGGTCCACATCTGAGGTTCCTCAGGGAGAAGGGCAGCGCCTGCCGGGAAGCAGGTTCCTGTTTTATGTTCTTTTCCTCCTCTCCCCTTCCCCTCCCTTTGCCTTTTTTTCTGTCCTTGTTTAGTTCAGTACTAGAGCTCAAACTCAGGTTCTTGTGCAGCCAAGTGACCTCAAGTCTGGAAGTTCTGGCAGTCCAGCTGACCTGACTCTGTGGTGCTCTCATTCAGTCAGCAGGAAGTCCTACCTCAGGGCTCTGAAATGAGCCAGGGGAGCTGTGACTTAGCATGAAGCTGAGCCCTGGGCAAAGGCCTGACACCTCAGGGCCTCCCAGAGCCTCCCAACTTCTCCTTCAGACGTTGCGGGAATATATTTAGGATCCAGAGACAATCCCTCCCTCCTCAGATTTATATTGTCTAAGCCCAGGCCAAGCCCATCAGTATCCCAAGGCCCAGGAGACGATCATATCTGCTATCCAACGGCAGGGCATGGACATTGTAGATTAGCTTTTGTGCCTTTCTTCCTGATCTGTTTGAATGTATTTCTTTTTTCTTTTTTTAATAAATACAATTTAATTTAATTTATTTATTTATTTTTGGTTTTTCGAGACAGGGTTTCTTTGTGTAGCTTTGTGCTTTTCCTGGATCTCACTCTGTAGACCAGGCTGGCCTCCAACTCACAGAGATCCTCCTGCCTCTGCCTCCCGAGTGCTGGGATTAAAGGCGTGCGCCACCACCGCCCAGCTTGAATGTATTTCTGAGTGCAGAATCTTATTGCTTCTTCTTTTGGTGGAACCTACCACAGAACTCTAGAATAATAACACAAATTGAGTGCTCCAAGTTGAACCCACATTGCCTACATTGGAGGAGGCCTGTTTCCAGACCTTTGTGGAAGTGGAGAGTTGACCTCTTGGAGAACTGGGAACCCAAGTCACTGGCTGACCACTGTTTATAACACAGTGGTCGGGGCAAACTCAGGAATCTGCCATCCTGGTTCTGATTTTGGCTTTCCCTTTGAATGCTGAGTAGCTATGAACAAGAGGCTCTCTGCCTCCCAGTCCCTGTGTCAGAGGAAGTCTCGAGTGTCTGCCTCCGCAGGCCTTGTGAGAACTGAAATGAAATGAAATGAAATGGTCTCTGGTTCTTGGAAGGCAGCGTGGTGAATGGTAGCTCTAGCACTTCTCCAGATAAGGGAAAAGCTGACCCGACCCAGTGAATCTTAGCTGTAAGGCCATTTTAACTCAGGTTTTCTGTTCAAAGAATGGGGGTCTCTTGGTGGGAAATCACAGGACCCATAGTGCTGAACCTCTGATCCTGCTCTCAAGTGCCGGGATTACAGGTGTGTACCGCCACGCACATCCCCAGAATCATTCTTTCTGGAAGTGTACTTGTGGCAGATTGATAGAAAATACCTTATTCGTAGAAACACCAGCTAGGAGCTGAAGAGAGTTAAGAGCATACATTGCAGGGGATGTGACTATGGTTCCCAGCACCCACACTAGGCAACTCACAATTGCCTGTCACTCCAGCTCCAACAGACTTGATGCCCGCTGGATCCTGGGGGCACCTGCACTCACACCTGCACACACCCCTGCCCCCCAAATATACACATAAACAAACTAAAAAAAAAAAATCTTACAAAAAACCCAAAACAAAAACCACTTAACTGAATTTCCAGAGAAGTTACTAAGTTACTTACAAACACACCCAACTTATCTGTTATTTTTGCTCTCTCATTTAGAATGTCACTTGAAAAAAAGGACAAACCAGACATTCAGTGGTTGGAGATGCACAAAAAGAACTGTCAAGCCATGTCTAAATCTGTGACCTTGCGGGCAAAAGCCATGGATCCCCATAAAAGTCTGGAAGAGGTGTTCAAAGCGAAGCTTAAAGAGAACCGGTCAGTGTCCCCCATGTTCAGAAGGGTGTCTGTCTTAGGTTACAGCACAACACTGGCTTTGAAATAGCAAAATGGAGTCAGGGTAAACTGAGTCATCAGAGTTAGTTAAGGATTTTGTTTGGCAGGCAGTAGGAATTCAGTGTACATGGGGATGACTGCTTAGCTTGAAGGAAGGGTTTTCTAATTGAAAAAGATTGGTTGCTTCTAGAAACTTTGTTAATTCCAGGAACAATGACCGTAAAAGAACAAAGGAGTACAAGAAAGAGCTGGAGGAAATGAAGAGAAGAATACAAACGAGGCCCTACCTCTTTGAACAAGTTACCAAGGTAAACCCAGACTCCTCTCTGCCTTGGGTCAAGTGTCTTAGAAACTGTATTAAAGAGTTCCTTAAGACTCAGCTGTTCTAAACTGAACTCCATGATGGTTAATCTTTTCAATTTGATTGTACTGAATGACCTAGAAAGTTAAACAGTACACTTCGGGTGTGTCTATGAGGGGGTTTCCAGAAAGAACTAACTGTGGGCAGCATGATCTCATAGGCTGGGAGCCCAGGTGATAAAAGGCACATTTTATCAGGGACGTTCTCTTTGATTCCGGGCCATCATGACATGCACAGCCTCTGCCGTATGCTTCCCCCTCCATACTGTTCAGAAGGTCAAAGTGACGGGGCAAGTTTTGGTGCCTGTCCTGGATCTCACTCTGTAGACCAGGCTGGCCTCGAACTCACAGAGATCCACCTGGCTCTGCCTCCCGAGTGCTGGGACTAAAGGCGTGCGCCACTGCCACCTGGCTTCTTTTCTCTTTTTAAAATGTAAAGACATTTGAGACAGGGTTTCTCTTTATGTAGCTCAAGTTGACCTGGAACTCACTGAGCCTGGGCTGGACTTGACCCCACCATCCTCCTGCCTTAACCTCCCCTGAGCTGGGATTACAGACGTGCACCACCACACCGGTTTTTACATTGCTTATGTCAGGCAGTTAGTTAATGACAAGGGCTATTTGCTTTTTTAAAATTTATTTATCTTTTATTTTACATGCATTGGTATTTAACCTGCATGTGTGTCTGTGTGAGAGTGTCAGATCTTGGAGTTACAGGCAGTTGTGAGCTGTCATACGGGTGCTGGGAACTGAACCCGGGTCCTCTGGTAGAGCAGTTGGTGCTCTTAACCACTGAGCCATTTCTCCAGCCCCAGGCTATTTGCTTTATTAATGCCATTTTACTCCAAATATAGATCCTTAAAGGTCAGGGTGCTTTTAAGCACCCTCCAAAGCTCTTTCCAGATTAAGTGGCTTTCAGGCTGAAAGGTTGATTTGAAAACATTCTCTGGACTTTAAGAGGTCAATTCAATTAAGATCTCCTGAAGGAAGCTCTGGAGCCCTTGGACACCCAGAGACCTGCCCCAGGCAGTTAGGTGCTGTGTCTGCCTCTGTGGTTCACTGTGGGCAAGAGCTCCATCATACAACAACATGTGTGATATTCCTAGGTAATGGTGGGTCTCCTGCTGCAGATGCCCCTCCCCCATGCTGGACCATCTAGACTTTACTTAGGCTGACCTCTTTAGGTTCATTTTTGTCAAGTAAGCCTATTCTTCTTTTCCCAACAGATCTTTCAGCATTCTAGAACAAAATACAAAGTAGTCTGTGGTTTTGTTCTTGAATACATAAAACAAGATAGGCTTCTTCTGGCCATCCTCCTGCTAAGTATTTTTAATGTTAGTCTTCCTGGTGATGGTGTGGGTGCTTTTCAAAGGTGTGGCTCTCAAGTCAATTAACAGCTGACACCTCTCAGAAGTGTTAGAATACAGACCTGTAGGCCCCATCTAAGACTAAGTGAAAACCTGCTCTTGAACGAGATCCCCATGGGGCGGACTCCTTTACCAACTATGGCTATAAAATAAGGCTCTAAGGGAATTTGGTGCCAACTTTGGTCTGCACTGAAGGTGGGGGTGGTGGCGGGGCAGTATTCTAAAGCCCGATTACCCAGGTAACTCAGAATCCCAATTCGAAAGACTGCTCCATCAGCCAGCTTCCACTCCGCAGGCGCTGGCCAGGAAAGAAGCAGAAGAGCGGTACCGGAACACCCTGCGGCAGGCTGGCCTGGAGGAAGAGTTCGTGATAACCAAGAGTCAAGGCCCACGGGCTGTGCAAAGCAAGGAGAAAGGCAGAGTCAAGGATTCTTCACAGGTAAAGAGAGCCGGGGTCATCCCGTAGCTCTAACTTGCTATCCCCAACGATGCCACCAGGAGCACACTTAGAGAAGTTACTCATTTTGAGATTGCAGTCCTGCACATACATAACAACTCGTCCACACACCTCTGAGCCCACGTCTCTGCTTGTGAGATGATAATACTGCTTGTCTGGCAGACTTCCTTATGGCTGGCTCCCTGGCATCACCTCTTTCATAACTGATATAAGGCAAAGAGAGAAAAGCAAAATATTACTGTTATTTCCAATTTTATTGTTTCAAGTCCAAGTAATTCCTGTTTTTATCCTTAAAATCCCATTTCTACCAAATAAAATAATGAAAATGTTGAGACTATTCTTAAGCCTTACATATCCTTTCAATTTAAAGTATTGTTTTTTCAGCATCCATGAAACTATAAAACTCAACATCGGAGATTCATGGCAGGATTTAGAAGACTCTAGACCAGCCTGCTGACCCAAGGAGGAGCTGGAAGAGCAGTGGCTTGAACAGCTAACCAGATTGCTTGTTGAAGCAGTTCACTCATCATTATCCCATTTGATCATCAGGCAGCCAACTAACTAGGTGAGGAGCTTGAGTTTAGAATCATGGCTACTGTTCGGGAATGGGAGGCAGTAACAACAGAAATGGCCTGCAGAGATCAAAGTGGAGTGGAGGGGGAGGGGTCCTGGCCCAGTGTTAAAGGGTCTTGTTTTGCACTTGACACTACGGAGCAGGAATAGAAAATAAGGTCCACACCTGTGGGGTAGGTATAAGGAACGCAGGTAGAAAAACAGGTAGCAACGAGGAAATGGAGATCCAGGACCGCTGGACCAAACACATTCTCAGCAGCAGCCAGAAATACGGTGTGGGAAATAAATTATATTTCTCATTAGTCCACATCTGCAACCTTAAGCACAGGCTTTATCATTAGCATCTGACTGACACACAGGGACAGGTCAGTTTCTATCTCTACTGTATGCCCTGAGGCACCCCTCTTGGGGTTGTTGAAATGAAAAATGTTTCCAGATATTGCCAAATGGCCTCTAGAGGGCAAAAAAGTCCTGGATTGAGAATCTCTGCTGCAGAAAGCAAAGACTGGCAATTTTGGAAAATCAAGTAATTGCTATGAACTTGGTCTCCATACTAAAGAATAATCATGCATGCCAGTAACAAATTCAGAACAGCAGTTTTTTTTTGCCATTCTTTGAGAATACAGCAGTGTTTGCATGTCTGCATTTTAAATAAAGCTCATTTTAAATAAAACTTCTCTGACCACTATGATTTTGTACTAGTAGTGGATCTTTGGGGTGTCTTTCTTGTCAATAATTGTGCCATAGGTACATAATGGGCCAACAGAAGCCTATTTCTCATGTTTAACAATTTCTGGAAAAATCCGAGTTACCCTTTTTAAGACAAGGTTTCTCTGTGTAGCTCTCACTGTCCCGGAACTCTCTATAGACCAAGATAGACCAGGCTGGCCTTGAATTCAAGAGATCCAGCTGCCTCTGCCTCCTGAATGCTGAGATTAAAGGCGTGCACTGCTACCAGCTTAGGTTTGCCAGTTCTAATTAAAAAAAAAAAAAGAAAAAGAAAAAGACACTAGTTTCAGGTTTTCTTTTTCAAGACAGGGTTTCTCTGTGTAGACCAGGCTGGCCTGGTGTCCAGTTTTCTAAGGCTCCTCATTTCAGTTTTACCTATGTAGTATCAATCAGTGCCCTAGTTTATGGTAGTAGTGTTTTTCCTTATTTTTAAAACTACGTTGTGTATGTGTGTGTTGTGGGGGGTATGTGCATGAAGCAGGTACCCACGGAAGCCAGCAGAGAGCATCAGATCCCCTGGAGCTGGAGTTCGAGGGTGTTGTGAGCTGTTTGATGTAGGAGCCAGGATCTGAACTGGGGTCCTCTGGAAGAACAGCAAGTGCTCTTAACTGCTAAGGCATCTCTCTAGGCCAAAGACTGTTTTTCCTTTCCTTTTCTTTTTGGAGACCAAGTTCTTCCTGTGTAGCCTTGGCTATTCTGGAATTCCCCATGTAAATCGGGCTGGGCTCAAACTCAGAAGTCTGTCCTCTGAATGCTGGGGCACCACCACACCTGGCTTATCAGTGTCGTGTCTCACTGTGGAGACTTGGCTGCCCTGGGACTTACGTGATAAGGCTGGTCTCAAACACCTAAGAGGTCTGACTGCCTTGAAGGCCTAAGCTCCTACCCC